ATCACCACCAACATCACCATCACCAACACCACCACCATCATCACTACCATCACCATTAACAACAACATTATCACCACCATCATCATCACCACCATCACCACCACCATCGTCAATACCACCACTATCCCCACCATCTACCACACTGTGTTTACCAATACTACCAATCCACCATCACCACCTCCACCCTAACTACCACCACCACTCTGGCCACTGCCACTCCTCCTGCCACCCCAATTACCACCATAGCCACCAACAAGTCGCACTTAAAAACACCAAAGTTAGGGACTGCCAACCTTAGCCAAAATGATGCATTTCAGATTGTTGGACCATATGGGGGCCCCTGAGCCTATGGACGCATCATTCCGGGTGAGAGGACCAAAAGAGTATATTCTAGAGGAATCCCCAAACTGCTGGGCTACAGCAGAACTTGATGGAAAGTTTCTGTCCTTGGAGCCCAAAGACTCGGATTCTTGTCTTGGCTCTACCATTTACCAACTGGGACCTTGAGCAATTCACTTCTCTTTGGGACCCCAAAGTCTTATACATAAAACAGGGATAATCAATACCCATGGCCTTATGGATTTTAAAGGAGAAAACTCATATAAAACATTTTTCACAGTACTTAACCTATAAAGATGTTAAAAATCCTTCCTTTTTTCCATCCCTCCTTTCCTCCTCCCTTTGTTCTTCCAACTTTTCCTCTTCTTATTGCTCCCAGATTTGAGACCCTCATCCACCCCCAAACCTCAAACTCAGGCAGGGCACCATGAGTACGGAATAGTAATAAGCATCCTACACGTGAGCCTCACACATGCTCCTTTAGCTCCCACTATCCTGTGTGCCCAGGACATTCTCCTTTTCCTCAAGAGGACAGAAAGCTCTCCTAGTCCTTGGGCGCCCAACATGCAGAAGATGGGTTGGGGCGGCAGGGAGGGGGTCCAGTTCCTCCAGAGAATGGGGTCAGGCTCTGTGCAAAGGCTAATTAAAAGGTTAGGCCTCATTTCTTGTATCTTCCAGGAGAGCTCACAGGGTGAGCAGGGGGGAGGCCGAGGCCTCCTGAAACAGCCTGCCAACTTTGTATTGCAGCTGCTTGCTGGAGAGCAGCTCCAGAGAGCTGTTTGCTTTGGCCAGACAGGCTACACGGAAACAGTAGTAGGACAATGTTGGGGGAGTGGCGGGGACTGGGGCAGAGGGGGCCCTGTGCATTTTCAACAGGGAGAAAAGTTTTCTTTACAGGTGGTGTCAGGCCTCAGGCTGCCTCAAGGAGCCAGCTGTGACTTGGGTTCGAGATGCTGGCCTTTGGGGACATACGAGATGCTGGGGCTGAGTGTGGCGGGAAGAACAGCTGTGCCTGTTAGTGCAGAAGTGGGTGGTGTGCCGAATGCAAGTGAAGCAAGGGTCCAAGGAGAGCCAGACTTGGGCTTTTCTTCTTCTTCTTCTTCTTCTTCTCTTTCTCCTTCTTCTTCTCCTTCTCCTTCTCCTCCTTCTCCTCCTTCTCCTCCTTCTCCTTCTCCTTTTCTTTTTTTTTTCTTCTTCTTCTTCTCTTCTTCTTCTTCTTCTTCTGTTTCCATTTGGGTTGCGTTTTCATGGGATCATGAAGTGTTTGTGGCTCGTGGGCCTGTGTGTGCTCTCAACCCAAAGACGAGATGAACGTGAACCCGAGGACAGGGGCAGCCTGGCCAGGAGATGCCACCGGTAATTGTGGCCGGCCTAACGGGAGCTTCCAGATCTCATGCATGCCACTTTTCCCCCTTCGTCTGCAATAATAAAATCAGATTTCTTAAACACCATGTGTCCTCGAAGTGTGATGTGTTTTACATACATATTCTCATTCAGTCCTTTAAAGATAAATAAGGGCCGGCTATCCTAAAGCTCAAGATGTTCAGATAGGATGGTCCTTGCAGCTGAGATGAGGTCTGGGGCAAGTCCTGGGAGCCTGGCTGGGACTCTAGCTGGGAGGCTGCCCCAGACAGTGATAACCCCTTCGTGGCAAGTCTCAGAGCTTATCCAAGGACCACGCAGGGCTGAGACTGAGGTGGGGTTGAAGATATGCATGATACGACAAAGAGCCAAAGTCATGGTGAGGCCGAACAAAAGAGGTATAGCAGCATCCTCTCCTGATCCTGGGGAAAGGGAGACGGTGCTCCTCTATCTTGGAGCCAACCATGATCTGCAAGAATAATCTGAGGTCCTTCCACACGCCTGGGGCCGAGGGAAAGAGGGGGCTAAGCCTGGTGACAGAGGACAACCTCACGCCTACGGTTCCTTCAGGGGAGCTGCTGAGGCTGATCTGAGTCTCCTGCTTCAGCATGGTGAGCAACTGTGAGAGGTCAGAATCTTCCATGTGAGCCCAAGCAACTGCAAAAACCCCAACGGAGCTTCCAGGCCCCCCAGATTGTGAAAGCTCGTTCCCTTGATAGAACCCAATAGACTGTTCCTGGCCCCTTGGTCATGTACCTTGTTGCCCTTGGGGGCAAATAAATATCCAGGAAGGATTTGTCTGCTTATTCTGCTCTCTCGGAAGAATTCAAAACAGCTGGGAGGGGAAGCAGCCGCATTTGGCTGCAGGGATCGTCTGGGGGGCCTCAGAATGAGTAGGGGTGGAGTTAGAGAAAGGTTTGCTGCCCCACCATTTAAGGAGAACCCCAACCGAGTCTGCAGCCTCTTAACTTCCGGTCCCCATAGTGGGTCCCTTCTGCCTGCCCAGTCACCAGCTGGTCACCACAGAAGAGCTGACCACCCCCACCCTCTGTCCAGGGAGGAAGTTCGGACTTGCAGGCTCCAGCCCAGAGCCTGACCCCGGCCTGCTGCATGCCTGTGATCTTCTCCTCCCCCTCCTTCCTCTGGTCTGACTTTCTCCAGGTCCCAAGGAGGGGCTTCCAAAACCAAGAGGCTAACACACCCTTGGCAAGTGCAGGGAAGAGGGAAATGTGTTTGACACATGCTCACCCAGAGTGCACAGGAGGGCTCCCAGCAGGATACAATTAATGATCAAGGAGAAGGAGGGGATTGCAACAATATGGGTTTTTTTTTCTCCTCCCCATATCCCTAGTTCCTGGACTTTGGCAACAATTCAGGGTGGAGAGAAGAGCATCCTGAAGATCTGTAAATAAATCACCAGGGCACATTGGTCTCTGGGGGTAAATGGAAGGGGGCTTAAGCTATGTTGCTCATCCTGCAGTAGAAATCCAAGGATTTCAGAAGAAAACTGGATTTTAAACTAGAAACCAGCTTAAAGCCATTGGGAAATTTTCCTGTCTTTTGAGGCGCTGGGTTAATTTGGAAAAAAAAGGAAAAAAATGCAGAAGGGAAGCGGGATAATTGAAGTTATTAGAAGCTTTAAATTTGGACTAAGTGATCCATGAGCATCTGAGTCTGATAGGAGGTCGGCATCAAAAATGGGAACAGGACTTACCTTTCCCCATCTTGACAAGCCAACTTTGGTTCCTGGACATCTGAAGACCCTAAAAAGCCAAAATCCTCCTCCCTTTGAGAAAATCTGCTTCACAGTCACCAAATCACAAAGTGTGTTCTTAAGCCGTCAGGTAACAATGAGATAGAAGGAGTTGTTGATACTGTGTGTATTCTACCCGCTGCTGAAGAAGCTCTGTGTGGACAGAAAGACTCCAGAATCCTGAGTGTCTTTCCTCCCACATCTATCTCTAGGAAAGAGAGAAAGGAACAAACAAAGGAAAAAAAAGAAGAAAATGCTACTGATCAGAAACTGTTTAGGGGAAATCAGATTTCGGATGATCAAAATAACTCCA